TTTTTTTTTTTTTTTTTTTGAGATTTTTCTATTATTACATTAGCTAACGTTCAGCAAATGATATATGATTTATAAGTAACAGTACTTCTAAACCATTGATAGAGTATACACATTCAAACAGCTACATTTAAGCAGCAAATTTTTTCTACTTTATGGGTTAACAGTATTTGTGAGAAGAAATTGTTGGCTGAAAGTCTTAAGTTGATGAAAAATGGATCTTTATATTTCATAAATGAATATAATTTTTTATTTATCATCATGTTTATTTCGTTTATTTATTCAATTATTTGTTTATATAGTCTTTTTTTCCCCTTTGCAGCTGTAATCGGTGGATTTGTGGTTGGAATTTTAGCAGCAATTCTGTTGGTGATGTTTATTGTATATCGGATGCGGAAGAAGGATGAAGGAAGTTATGCATTAGATGAACAAAAACAGCCTCCAATCTATCCGTATGCTTATCAAAAAGCACCAACAAAGGAGTTCTATGCATGAAAATTATTAATTACATTTTGTTTGATAAATTTTTCTCTTTTTTTTGTTTTCAATTTATATGTATACATATTCTTTCTTGTTTCTCGATATTTTTATCACTGCTCTCTATTTATTTTGATCAAAAAAAAAAAGAATTTTTTTTTTTATTTTTTTTCTTGCTCATTCCTCGACTATGTCGCTCAATTTTTTTTTCAAACTTGTTTTGATTTCATTTTTGTCTTGATATCTTTTTTTTTTCCTTCTTTTTTTTTTTTGCTTAAAAACTAAATCTCTGAATAAGTGCTTAATTTAACTGTTTTTTTTTTGGTTCATTGGATATTATTACTACTCTTTTTTTCTGCCGTTTTGTGAGCATACATCATACGTAGTCAACAACACTGAATTGAACATATTATATACATCGCTCATAATACTTATTTGCATTAAGTTGAAGAGTTTCTTTTTTTTTTTTCTTTTTTTTTTCTTTCTTTTTTTTTCCTTTCTTCGAAGAAAGGATTGTCGAAGAGGAAAGGGGAGGGGGGAAGTTGAATACTGGGAAATAATGTAAGCGAAAGGAGAAGAAGAAGAAGAAGAAGAAGAAGAAGAAGACGAAGACGAAGAAGAAGAAAAAGAAGATGCTGATGATGACGATAGAAGGAGAAAATTGGAAAGAAAAACGGCGAGGGTAAGAATAATGATATTAAGGAATTTTTTGTTGTTGTTATTGTTGTTTTTTATTTTTTTTTTTTTAGTGTTGAATATGTTGTAATGGTTTTATATATGTGTTCTGCTTTCTTTTTTTCCTGATTCCAATGTTTGGTGC